TTTTTTTTATTCGCTGTTGTTTATATCATGCCGTTGTATCCACAGTTCACAGTAGCATGGCCACTCCGAAAATATTACGAATTACTGCGTGTGTTGCCATTCTCGTGATTGCTGTCTCTCTTTCTCTTTTTCTTTCTCTCTCTTTCTCTCTTTTGCTCTCTTCCTTCTGTTTATAAGTCACCGTGTGCCTTCTTTTCTTTTTTTTATTGTTGCTACTGCTGCCGTTCTCCTCAAATCCGAGTGAACGAGTGAAAAAGTAGGTAGAGAAACGAGAGTGAGACAAGATTCTTCCGTATTATACTAGTAGTTTGTTACTGATATGTGATTTTTCTCGATGTTCCTTCTACTCTATCCTTAACATTGAAGACACCTTTGTACTCGCATCCGTCGTGTGTCTTGACCCACGACGAGGCATTTATCACAATTATATATAACTACTCGATTTTAATCGACGGCTTTTAAAAAGCAAGAGGGGAGAAAACTTGGCGAGATTATTATTACTTTAATTTTTTACTCAATATACTTTTAAAATATGCGCTTGCAAATTATTTTCACTAAACGCGCAAAAGGAAAACGTTGAATGTCACGTGGTGGGTCGTGAAATGGTGTCTTTCATATCTCGAACGCTCGAGTACAAATTGTCGAAGATCGGCAAGTGCGTATCGCGGTATCGCTAAGATCAGATTAGGGCCTCGCGAGAGGCGAAAGGTGGGCCCCGGTTCGCGCGCAGGCCACGGCGTAGCATGAACGTTTGTGTCTGATTTAGATTCACACACGGTGGTCATCGAACAGCCGTCGCACTCGTGCAAACTCTGCGGTAAATCGTTTTGGAATCGGGACTCGATGTATAAACACATGAATATGCACAAGGGTACGACGCAGTGCCCGGTGTGCCACAAAGTGCTCAGCCGCACTACACATATGAAGCGCCACTTGAAGAACCGCCACGGCTGGCCTGGCGTCGGGTCGACCGCATCCGTAGCCGCGGCCGCCGCCGCGATGCCAAGCAGCGGCGGCGGCGTCGAGACGCCGGCGCCGATCTCCGTGTCGTCGACCGCCCAGGCGATCGCCCAGCAGAACGCCGGCAGTCCGACGAGCATCGACGCGAACGCGACCTACACGACGATACGCATTAGGGAGAGCAGCGTGGAAAGAATCACCTCTAGTCCTATTCCTTAGTGCGAGAACGCTCTACCAAAGAAAGAATCCCGTCGACGCAAAGGAGGATAGATCTTCGGCGATGCTCGTTATTTCCCTCATTCCTCGTTACTCGACTCTTTCATTGTCGGGTGCGATCATATAATCTTTAGAATGTGCTGCATTTAAATGTTAAATGTCTCGCTTTGATTCCATTCGTCGGGATTGTTAAATGTTCTTTCGAAAAAAAAAAACAAAAAAAAACGCGAGATTTGAGAATGAACGAAAGTAAACGATTATTTACATAATCGAGAAGAGTTAAAAGTATTTTATATTGAAAATATTGAAATGATTAAAATCCAAAAATTTTTATCCACGCTTTTTAATTAGCTTAATAATGTGTCTCAGTAGTTACGATCGTGATCAGAGTCAGACGACGGCAGTGAAATAATCGCGAATAGATTAAACAGTAGAAAAGGTAAAAGATGTAATCGGTCTTAGTGGAGCTTTCGCAATTGAGTCAGACAGTGGAAAATTTAGTAAAAGAATAAGCTGTAATCAGCCTTTAATGGAATAGTCGCTACTAAAGTGTTGATAAGAAAAAGTTTATAAACAAAATTTCTATTACATCATTGTTACTTTTCGCTTGATATTAAACAAATATAACTGCAATTTGTATGCATCGGATCAGTATTGCGTAGAAGTACTGATTTTTTTTTGTACAACATGTGTTGTAGAATACATATTGCGCGTCTTTTAATTATTATTATATTTATTAAGTTAATTTTAACAGGAAACTCTCAAAGAAGTTTAGCCTGTGTGCCATATTTTTTACATTTTTTGAGTTCGACGATACAATCGATCATATTTTTCTGCTGAAAGGACGCACTTTGCAAAAATGATTTACCGCGATGTTGATGACGCGTCGTTGAGCATCAGATCTATCCTGCTATTGTCGTCGACGAGAAACCTATATTACGCCTGTCTTAAATTTTACACCCTAGTCATTTGTACACATACATATATGTGTATGTATATGTATCTATATGTGTATAATGCACATAAGAAAAGACACGAACATTTACACACTCATACATACACACAATACACGCGTATACATAAGCACACTTTTATAGCCAAAGACACGATGGGAGAACAGAAACGATTTATTTTATCTAGTCAAATTTCAGTTCAGTACTTAATAGCGTAAGGAGGAATGTGCATTTTTTTCGTACGATTAAGTGGCGATTCAGTGGCTTTTGTTCTTGTTAGATTGTTAGTCCAAGCGATCGATAATCGCCGAGAATCGACAATCTATGCGATCATGGTAAAATTGCTGACGTAAACAAATCTGTCTTTAAGGTAGTTGTCTCGCGTATAATTTAAAAGTTAAGTCTTTCAAAAAAGTTCTTGAAAAAGAATCAAATAATAAAGTTTAGATATTTTTTATACATTTTTTGCTCTAAAAGTTTTTGTTTTTGAATTTACTGTGGAGCAGTAAATTAGATGATTGTTTATCGATAATTAATATTGTATTGTAATTATATTATTGTATTATATAATAATATAATTATATAACTATTATAGAATACATATATTGCGCGTCTTTTAATTATTATATTTATCAAGTTTATTTTAACAAGAAACTCTCAAAGAAGTTTAACTTGTGTGCCATAATTAAATAATATGTAATGGTATATTTTAGATATATCATTATATATTATTTAATTTATTATACGAACTTTAACTAAAAAGGATCAATTGAGAAAGTTTAATAATAATTTTAAAATAGTTAATAAATTATAGACTTAGATATTACTTCAATAATGATGAAAGTGAGATTGTAGTGAAAATTTGGATCAATTTGTAAGAAATTTATTTTATGAGACAACTACCTTAATTTATTCTTTTTTTATTATAAGAACTAATAAAAAAGTTAATGTACTGAAAAATTTAATGAGGTAAAAGCCAATTATTTATATATATCGGTGTGCTGCAATATATTATGATTTTAATTATTAACATTTTAAAGTAATGTTTTAATTGTGTTTTACTATGTTTTATTATGTACATACATTGAACGATGATCCACATTCACAGGACACATTTTTACCATGATCGATGAGCAACGTGCCGAGATAACATTCGACTATTAGTTTTGTGCCATTATCTTTTAGTTATCTTATATGTCAAATTACATACTTGACGACGTCACGATGGTCTGAATTTTTCGCCATCAATCGACGCGTTTTAACGTTTCTCGGGCTCTATCCGTTAGTTTTGGATCGCAAAGCACGATCTATGTTCATGATATTACACATACTCACGTGCCCTAGTTCTTAAGGTCTCAGAGACTTGCCAAATATCTAATATATTATATCTAATATATGCATAGTACACATTTTAGTTTCATCCCGCGGAAGTATATAAACATTAGTATGGTAATATATTATATTTCGTTTATTTTTTGTTGTCGTTATTGTTTGTTCTTTTTTTTTCCTGCTCCGATTTTACAACAATATTGAATGCAACGAACGGTGCAATGGGTTCAATTTATTTTTACATTACTGAGTCTCGGAGCTCGTCGATAGTCACGTCTGTGTATCCTTGCAATTTTTTAATTAGATTAATTATTCGATTAGAATATATTTATTTGTATGTGGCTACAGTTCACGACATCGTTATTTTATTGATTTCGATATTACATTATTGCCACAAATACATGATCAAGTTAAAGGCTACGTAAAATTATTCGAAATTGATTTGAATAGAAATATATTTGCATAATTTATTTCTGTATAAAATATATATATAACGCGACTTTGAAGAGAGAGAGAGAGAGAGAGAGAGAGAGAGAAGAAAGAAAGAAGAGAGAGAGAGAGAGAGAAGAAGAGAGAGAGGAGAGAGAGAGAGAGAGAAGAAGAGAGAGAAAGAAAGAGAGAGAGGGAGAGAGAGAGAGAGTGCTATTAAAATGATATATATTTAAATTAATGAAATAATAAATTATATTTATGAACTTGTGGATAATATTCTATGTATACTAAGTGTAAATATAATTTTACACTGTATGTTAGGGGTGGAATATAAGCGAAGCATATAATACTGCAC